CAGATTATGTAACTACTGTGTATGTATAAATAATTCTGTAAAATATCGGTAACACGAACTCGCTTAGGAAGAACAGCCCAGTTATAGTAATCACTATTGTAGTCCCAGCAGCGAATGTATCAGCATTAGCATCCGATTAGCACACATTTTTAAAACACGATTTTGGGTACACTCGGAATTGTTTTGAACGAAATTTTACTGTATATATTGGGCTAATTTAAAAAACCGAAATATATCCACTGACACTAACATCAGGCATATTCTCCTTCCTTCCATTCTGTTTCCTTCACTTCTAGAAGGCGCTAGTTAAATTATTTATGTAGCTTTTTTCGGATCATCATTATCGCAGTGTACAGTCTTTGGCTGGCGCAGGCTGTGTGTGGAAAAAAAAATCGTTATGTTTAATAGGTATTCTTAAAAAAAAAGGGGGAGGGGGGTGCGGGGGAGAATCTGTTGGTTATAAATGTGACTGTGTTTAATTGCATATTATATTATTCTTTAACATGGATTGCTACCAAGCAGTCCTAAAAAGATTGTTTGCTGTGTTGACGCGATTACCGGACCCAAATACTTTCCCGACCGGCGACGAAGTCGTCTATGGCGAGCCAGTAAGTGACCGTCGCCGATGTTGGCGTGATTTTGCACTAGTGGAGATTTGTTAATAGTTGACATGAACTTTAAAGCAACCCCCATCGTAATTAGCTACCAATATATGTCACAGGGTAGTTACTTGAAAGCCCCACCCCAGCTGTCTTAGCGGTGCCAAATATAACCGAACTGTTAAATTGGGTTTCTGAGAGTTGTGCCGTGGAGATTCTCATCCTCGTGTTGGCACTTTGTGTCATCTGGTGTTTGTCGCTCAGTGTGCGGTCAGTTAGGGTTGAACGTCACTCACTGAATAACGACATTACACCCCAGTTGCTGTCAAATATTGTTTGTTTGTTTTAGTATCTAGAAGCCATGAGTTGTTAACCCTTAGGCTCGGTATTATGGATATCGCAACATTTCGGCCTTGATTCCATTGTAAATACCGTAAATCTGGGAGAAAATGTGGCTTTCCTGCCTACCCCGGGATTGAACCCGGACCACAAGGAGTTCGTCACCCGGTCACCCTGTGTACTCCGATGGTAAAACAGATAGCAGGGACATTATTTTAGTTATTGTAGTGGTGGTAGTAGTTGTACTGGTACTTGAAAGATGGTGTGGTAAATATTACACTAGCCACATTTACTACTCATTACAATTCCTGCTGCCCATTTTAGTCTGGATGGACAGGGATATCAAGGTCAGTTACAAAAAATATCGTCAGGTGATGACACTCAAATCCTTCGAAGAGGAAGAGAGCAGTAGTCAGTGGATGGGGGAGGGGATTGGGTGATGACTGAAACTGTTAACTTAAGGAGCTTAACACATGATTTTAAAGTTTTCATTTCTTAATGTGTTTATATTTTACTAACGCTTCCTCCGTTATTCTAATTTTTCTGTTCACGACTTACGTGGTTATTTACAAGTATAGTAGTAAGCTTTACCCCTGCCTCTTAAAAAATGACAGCTTTAGCATGTGATAACCAAATAATTTTTTTCAAATGTCCTAATAATACCATTTAAATAACTAATAAAAACATACAAATATATGTTGCGTGTTCTAAAGTCGGCAAACCAGACTATCTCTATATCTGTGCAGACAATGATTGCAACATTAACTATATTAGAAACTTGCGATTTCTATTGTCTTTCTTTTCCAAGACCTTCGATGAGGGAGAGAGTATAAAGTGAATTTTTTTTTTTTTTTTTTGGGGGGGGGGGGGGGGAGGGGGGCATCAAAGACTATCTCTGTATCTGGGCAGACAATGATTGCGACAGTCACCATATAAGACACGTGCAATTTCTATTTAAGATTTTTTTAAAAATTTAGCCAAACTATGTCACAGCAATGCATGGCCGGATACAACTAGTTACAGTATAATCTTCGTATTTTTCTTCTGCAGGATAAAATAAGTTTTGGAGACGTCAGTGAGAGGAAAGCGCTCAAAGAAAAGCTAAAATGCCGTTCGTTCGACTGGTTTATTAAAGAGATCTTCCCTGAAATCTACATTCCTTTCAATACGACAGCAATAGGCAAAGTAAGCACCTGCCTTTCATTTGATTTTCTATTTTTAAGTAATTTATTACCACGGCTTCATTGGCTTATTGGTTGGGAACACAGTTTCATTAATCGACATATTAAGATCCTTTCAGTTGCGGCAGATGTGCCAGAAACTTACTGTGCTTTGACGCTTGTAGAAAATTGATGGTCGAACACTTACAGGGAAAAACAAACTAAATGAAAGGGGAATCGCCTGGTGAAACCACAACCAGTCTCATACAAAGCCGGGGTTGATCTGCAAATAATCCCAGAATGAATATGTTAGTGTCCGTCTTAGGCATTGTAAACGCACTTTGTTATTTCCGAGGTAGCCTACTAGACTCCAGCTGCAGGCAGTTTGTCGGCAGACCGCATGGTATTGATGTCGATAGAAGTATTAAGAGGGAGTCATAGGTTCGCTCCCTGACGGAGCCGGGCTTTTTTCAAAATAAACCTTGGCTCCCAGGTCGACCCAGCATTGAGTGGGTACCGGGTGCAGTCCTGGGAAGTTGTCACGGAGTGAACAACCAAAACCTACACAGTGGATTATTTGTGATGTTGACTCTCCTAGCGGGCAGGTCACATTTCAAATTTAAACCCGTCCGGTGGGTATAAAGTCCCTCATATTGATATATACCTCTATCTGGTGGAATAAATATTTCTAGACCCTCTAGTTGTTTTGAGAAGTCTACATTTTCAAACTTGCAACTGTGGGATAGATATTCTCTAAAATAATATTCCGAATTCATGAAAGCCTTTTTACTACTTGGGGCACTAATACAGGACTTTTTCTAGAGACGCCAAGCAAAATCTGGCGGGGTCATTCTTTGCCAGACCTCTGAGGCATCTAGACGTATTTCAACTCTCTGATTACATCTTGGCGCATTTGAAATACCAGTTTAATCTTTGAAGGATTCCTAAGATTGGGTAAGTTGATTATAGTTTACGAGTACCATGAAATGTGTCTCTATAAAGTTAGCCGCTGCTGCAGGGAGGGAAGATTCAGCTGTGTGACCGCACAGAACCAGGTCGTTCTTGGTGTCCAGAAACTCAAGCCCCTGTAATCTAACCTTTCGCTTAGCAGGCTAATAGTTTGTGCTCTACATGAGCCACACCATTACTAAGTTAATTATTCTCTAACCAGACAACGGAGTTTGTGTCGACTAGCAGACATATTTATCTGGGTAGCACGTCGACCAGCTAGGCGCTCTGAGCCAGAGGTTATTTTTAGCACAACAACACTGGGCGTGCAGTGGGCAGATTGTGGAGATATAGAATATGCATGTAAGAACGGGATAGAATGTTTATCTGCAGGTGCAGATAGGAAGGTGGAGAGAGGATGATCTATGTGTAGTAGTGTCTATCTATCTCTGCTATGTACCTTGTCTCCTATCTCTTGTACTGACTTACAGACAGATAAATGAAGGGGACATTGTCTCCTGTTCTTGAGAGTTATCCTCTGAGTGACTGAGAAGAGTAGAGGGAAATAAATTGAGCTTGGTGTGTGAATCTTAAGATAAATACTAATTCTGAGTTCTTTCCTGACAGGATGACACCTCATGAGAAGTCAGGCAAACGAGTCACAGTCCAGCCAACAATTACCAACTCATACCATCCCTATCACCAAACCTACCCAAAATCCTACCAATTGTTACCACAACTTCAACATGACAGGAGCTTGTGTGTGAGTTCCAGTGGCTGAGATACAGTTGTTGCAGGCCACCAGTGTCATCACTCCAAGGAAGCCTTCTTCAGGAGCTTTTTTGGGCTTCAGCACAGTTCCTTTGGTCTCAAATGTGAGACGTGTCAGTGTTTACCAGATCAACCAGAGGAAGAGAAGTCTATTGAATCAGCCTGTTCAAATCACCAGGAACTGAGGGGAGCAGTGACCTACCAAATTGGATAAGTAACAACTGAGATGACATGCCACATGCTCTATTTACATGTCTACCCATAGGCACTATGATGGTTCCTAAACTCTCTGACATTTGTCTGTCTGTTTTAACATCCTCTCTTCGACGTTAGTTCTAGAAATCCAGTCACTGGGAGCCATCTTGATTGTCTTGATATATATATATGTATATATATATATATATATATATATATATATATATATATATATATATATATATATATATATTGCAATTTTTCATCCATTCATAAATTTTCATGGCTGACTTGGGTGTCCCTGTTTCACTATTCTAACTGTCTAGCTTTTATGCCACGGGATATCCCTTAGACCATTACGAGCCGACACCTCAACATTATTTATTTTAGACTGCTGTTGGTTCTTAAGGAGAAATCCTTATATCAGGCACGCGACACGAGCGGTATGTGGCAGAACTAAAGGCGGCAGGCTTGATGCTGACCACATCAACCTTCTTGTGCTTTAAGTCTATAAAATGTAGGTCTAGCTATATATACCTGATATGCATGAAAGACGTGGAAAAGGTTCCTTTATTTCTTAAGTTGTTTTGGGAGCTGACTGTTAAAAGAACAATGGTAAATTACTGAAGCAAAATTACCTTATAAAGGATGATCAGCTAACTCTGATACTGGAGAGCATAAAACTTCCTTTCTTTCACTTTTAAAGTAATTTAATGAATGTTTAAAAGAACAAAACAAGAATGATACACGACCCATCCTTACTACAAAGAACAGATGGTGTTTCATCAGGGTTTCTTAATGCACGCTTATATGAACATCTTAAACTGCTGACTTCAGCAGTCTTCCTGCAGTGAACAAGAATAGAAGATTTATAGACCACGTTCTCACATCACACATAGGACAACAGTCTGAGCATGTGAAAATACTGTCGTAATTTTATCGCAGCCTGGGCATTTGACATCCATGAAGTAGGTGTTTGGACTCTGTACCAAGCGTTTGAGCTTGCACTTACTCTTCTCCTCCTCCTCCAAACTTGGGTGAAGTAAATCCTTTGCTAGTGGCATGTTTACAGCTCTAACGAACAGACGTAAACTTGCTACTAAAGTTTCTAAATGGCAATGTTACTAAATTATAGTGAATTTGATAAGGGGGAAAAAAAAACTTCTGTGCGGTCTACCTTGTGATTTGAACCAATCATTTTGTATATATATATATATATATATATATATATATATATATATATATATATATATATATATATATATATATATATATATATATATATATATATATATATATATTTTTACAAGGTCGGACAATTAAGAAATTAGACAAATTCCATAAAAATTTAAATAGTCAACAGTTGAAGATATAACCTGTATTTTATTCAAAGTAAGCCCCTATTGCACTGATACAGAAAGTGGCACGATCTAACAAACACTAGAAATGACCTCTGTAGTTTCTCTGTTGTTATGGCCCCTAAAGTCGGCGTTACGGCCCTTTGGATGTCATCAATTTCGCCAAAGAAGCGTCCTTTCAATGGTAACTTCAATTTTGGGAACAAAAAATAATCACAGGAAAAAAAATCTGGGAAATAGGGCGGATAGTTGAGAACACATTTGGGTGGGGCAGCAATTCCTGTACAACTACCGCCTTTTGAGCCGTTGCATTGTCCCGAAAAAAAAACAAATTGCAATGTGTTGCAGAGACGGTATCTGACCGAGAGAATGATTGGTGCAATGGATGATTGAAATCAGTTGACACGGAAGGATTCAAACATGACAACACTTACCTTCCACTAAAATTGTCGGAATAGTATCTGTAAATTCATCAACTATCATCCTCACAGTCGAACAACGATCCTCTTGTATCCATTTCCAGAATTTTGCAATGAGTTCCTCATTACGAACAGAAATTGGGTGTCTAGGTCTAGTTGCATTAGTAATCATTTCACACCTCTTTTGAATCGAGAATACCAGCTGAAAATCTGTGGACGAGATAAACAATTATCCCCATAAATATGTCTCATCAATTGAACTGTTTCAATGGCGCTTTTTTTCTGAGTATTAAATAGAATTTAATGTTAGCTTTTTTGCTCCATGCTGATTACGTAACAATGCATCACTGACTAGGTTAACAAAAAAGTGGCTTGTTTGTTGTCTGCTCATCAGGCGGCGATGAAAAGTTGCCAGATCATAGACGAAGGTTTCCTCTTTGGATTCTACGCTGTGATTCATAGATGGCATTTTTGTCTTAGCCATAATAAAGTCAGTCTCATTACCTAATTGTCGGACCTTGTAAATATATATATATATATATATATATATATATATATATATATATATATATATATATATATATATATATGGATTTCCACACTTGCGTGTCACTTTTCTCGGTACCCAACGAAGAATTCACATACACGGTCATTGAGGAAGATTGCTTGCATTTTAAACTGATATTATTAAAGAAGTACTGGGAGGGACAGAGGAAGACATACAGTCACGTCTGAACAAAGCTAGAGCTGCTTTTGGAAGGATGAGGCAAATCTGGAAATCCAACAATTACTGCAGAGGAACGAAACTCCGACTCTACAAGAGCATCATTTTGCCAGTTCTTCTTTATGGAGCGGAATGCTGGAGAATGACGAAAAAGGATGTACACAAGCTGTTCACCTTCCACCACACATGTCTGCGTAGAATTATCAAAATTTTCTGGCCAGATACAATCTCAAACACTAAACTACTTCAAGCCACAAACCAAGAAACTTTAGACAGTATGATTACCAAGAGAAGATAGAAATGGCTTGGCCACGTTATGAGAAAGACTTCTGATATACCTGCCAAAACAGCTCTCACATGGACACAAGAGGGAAAGAGAAAACAGGGGCGCCCAAAAACAACATGGAGACGAATGATGGAAAGTGACCTGAGTGCGGCATCTTTGACATGGACAACTGCACTGAAGATTACACAAGACAGGAAAGCATGGAAAGTCCTATCTGAAGCCTCATGAGCCACTAGGCGTAACGAGAACTGATGATGATGATGAAATTGATATACGTCGGCGCCTGTGGCTTAGGTGTTGCGAACGCGCTTCGTAATGTCGGGGTGCTGGGTTCGATTCCAGCTGCGGACGATTTGTCATGCCTTGGTTTCGATAGAGGTACCGAGCGCTGACCGTTCAGAAGGTAATGGCAAACTACTGAACGAAAATTTGCCTAGAAAAACCACAACAGCCAAAAAATTATGGGATTGGTTATGCAACATCCTTTGAAGGATACGCAACCAACTCCAGAATGGTTGTACATGTGTGTAGTCTTAACATATTCACAACAGTTTCGTTATTAGATTTATCTGAGTAAACTTTGATACGAACATCAAATCTAGATGTGGGTATACCTTGACGGTATTCATTCGTCTGTCAAGTCTCCAGAATCGTTTTCAGAGTTATATTTGCAGTAGTTGCAGCGACTCTGTATTTATGGAGCTGAGTTTTATTTATGTTTTCATGATACAATAATTTGGCGTTTCCCCAACACACACACACACACACACACACACACACACACACACACACACACACACACACACACATTATAGACCAATCAGCGATTTGTTTGTGATGTGGTCAGAATCACGCTGACCGCCCTTACTTCCCAGGACTGTACCTGGTACCTACTCAAAGCTAGGTCGACTTGGAAGTCAAGGTCCTTTTTGAAAAAATATCCGGCTTTTGTCATGAACCCAACTCCCGACCTTCCGATCCACGGCGGCTACCTTCTTGTATAATAACAGATGAAAATTCTGGCGATGATTCTCTCTGACTGTAATGGTGGTGGCAATGCCAATCTCATTAAAAGTCCCTATACCATTTCCCCGTACCTTTGTAAATCGTCCTGCTCACTCTCAGGTGAACCAATGTCTTCAGTTGTGGATATGCTGCAGGTTCAATCTCACGGTCCACTTGATCCCAGAGAGCTTTAATTGCATCTTTAAATGTTGAATAGTGATAGGTAACAGATAAAATAATTAGGCCAAGCGATAGAGGATCCGCACGTCCAGGGAGTGAACACCCAAGGCGAGAGACAAAGCCTAGTTAGTAGAGATCAACTGCAGCCAATCTTTATTACAGAGACGGTTTCTGACCGAGAGAATAATTGGTGCAATGGTTGATTGAAATCAGTTGACACGGAATGATTCAAACATGACAACACGTGTTTTACTTTTTTGTTGCAGATTGTAAATGTACGAAATCCGACAATGTGCGTGAGAGCAAAAATTGATTTCGAGGGTGGTGCAACTGTCACTCTAGACCACTGTTGGCCTGTCTTCGACGAAGAGGTAACCGATTTAAATGAAAATGAAAATAGCTCTCTGGTTTGGGTGCTTTTATAATATCCTACCCCAAACAAGGGAAATACACAGGTCACGGGACAGTAATATTTCAGGGGGTGGTAGATAGGCTGCATGCAGTCGTGGGACCTAGGCTGCATGCAATTGGGAGATCTAGGCTGCACTAACTCGTGGGACGTAGATGGGTTGGGGTTGGGGTTAGGGCCAGTTTTGCATATTTCGGGGTTGTTTATAGCCTCAAAAAGCCGGGTAACCCAACCTCGAAAATGTGGGTAAGATATCACGAAAGAACCCTAGTTTGGCTTAAGGTTGAATACATGTGTTTTAAAAACCAGTGTCGCTAACTAGATCACTTATTTCGGGGTGCTAGTCACTGAGGTTCATTGCTTACAAAGTCATTGTTGCATTACTGCTAGTTTCATGTTTCTCCTTTAGTAATAAGAGAATGGTCATTGTCTAGTGTTCATAGAATATGTCAGACAGATTTTATCTCCCATCGACTCTCACAACTTCTCCACATAACAGTCACCACCATTTGATAACATTTAACGTATAATGAGCTCAACACATGAGCTACGAGAGCCTGTCTTCTGATCTAACAAACAGCCTAGCCACAATCTACAGCATGACACTTACTTAACACATCAGGTTGCATGTATCAGCACTTTTGACCACAGGATCAAACCTTCAACGTCCATCGTTGACATGTACTCGACCACAATCAGCACTCAGTAAGGACACATTGGTTTTGCCTTTCATTCAGCCTTATTCAGCGTAGGTTTCGATGCAGACGATCAACTTTTACACCTTCCACCTCAGAACCATATATTGCAGTTTGTTGCAAAGTGATAATCATGCAACATTCACCATGTGAAATGCAGTTAGTATTGTTAAACTAATTGCATCATTGACAAGAACGTAAACGATACAATTAAAAAAAATAAAAAAAAATCCCAATGTAACAGACTCATGGCAGCTGTTATAATTTTCGATTCGGCTAGAATCATGATCTTAAAACTGGCCAGCTTGAAAACGGTGTCACCGAGGCTATAAAAGGCAATGGAGCAGGAAATAGCCGGAAAAAGAGGATAGGGGGGGGGGGGGGGGAGGAAGGGCTGTTCGCTTTAGGTGCTTTTAACTTTTGGCGATTTGTTGTGTGTCGTGGGATAAGGGCTAGCTGGGCTGTGGGGCAGGACACGCATAAGAATGATTTTCCGTTGTTTAGTCGTTCATCGCTTTTTATGCAACATGAATTAAGGGGACTGAGTGGTAAGGATAGAACGTCTCAATGGTTTCTTAGTGATGATACTTTTAACAGTTATGGTGTTTTAGATGCGTATTTTGGTTCAGAGTAGTGCTTGTAGTTAGCACACGTGATCAGTCTAGGCTGCCTGTGTGTAGTTATATGTTTAACGAAAATTGCAATTCTGTTCACCAGGGGGTGGTTTGTGTTTACTGTACACATAGTATCATTATTGTTCATTTACATCATCATATATTTTCTTATGTCGATTGTCCATGTAAAACGTACCTGCGATAATTAGTTGAACAAAAAAAAAAGTTTCTGAAGTGTTAGTGTACCTGGTTGCTGTTACTGCTGACTGGAATTCATACATAACCTTTCCTGTCATGATTAAGACACTATTGGTTTTAGCCCCCACCAAACAAATATTTGTTTTCTTGTTGCTAGAGCACTTTAGGTGTGGGTTTGGGCTTCCACTCACCACGACATTTTGCATTAGAGCTTCTGTTACCTTGGGGTAGAGATAAGTTCAAGGAGTAGATTTTATAATATCCTTTATTGTGTTTCTATCTTCCTCTAATAAAACATCCTCTTCTAGTCTTTGCTTCTAGTACATTAAATTAATATGAATGTTTCATGTATGTAAGAAGGGTAAGGCAATTTTATTCATGATCGTACCATTGTGTTTTCGATAATTTCTCCGTAATTGCTTATCCTTGGAACATAATGCATTTTCCATGAGTTACTAATTCTCGCTTGCTGTTAATGTTGTTTGTGTAATTATTTAGTGTGCACATTTCTATCGAAAATAAAAGATGTTTTCTTTGTGATTTTCAGCGCTGACATAAACTGGTTAGACAACAATGCAAAGTTTACAGTACCATCGTGAATGACTCTAATCACAACCCTAACCATATAAGTTAAGCTTTTACAACTTGTTACAAATTTGGAAACGAATCCAGCACACCCATTGTATAGCTCCGTGTGAGCTCGGCTCTCTAGCTTGGATGGCTAAACCGGATTGAGCGGAGACCGGGTGACGAACTCCTTGTGGTCCGAGTTAAATCCCTGGGGTAGGCAGGAAAGCCATATTTCTCCCAGATTTACGGTATTTATCATGGAATCAAGGCCGAAAAGTTGCGATATCTATAATACTGAGCCTAAGGGTTAACAACTCGTGGCTTCTGGATACTAAAACAAACAAACAAACAAACAATAGCTCCGTGCGACACATTCAACCCATCAGTTGTGGTCTTATTAGATGTTTAGGTCAAACACGAGAAAGATGTGTTTTTGTGCGCAAAGGAAGAGATGCCATCAATGCCACGAATATCGCGAAGACAAATAATGCATAATGTTTGACTCGGTGTTCCCATCCACACTAGTGTACGTGGATATGGTTGTGTAACCTGGAACGTAAAGACATTAGCATTTTATTAAGGACCTTCAATATTTAATTAATCAATATAGACAAGAATGTTTCATTCGTTATATGTGCAAGGAGCTTGTGTGTGGGGGGGGGGGGGGGGGGGAGATAAAAACAATACTTTGCCTATCCATGATGCTGTGATAATGAAGTTGACTAATCAATAAGCACCTCAATTTGTCATTAATAACACGATGTTATTTTTTTTTTCTTGCCAGTATTTCTGTTTAACCAAAGAGGAGCAGATACGACGTGACGATTACTGCCTGTCATATACAATTCCAAATGGACAATTTATCTCCACAAGATGTCAGAATGATAAGAGAAAATGGAAATATTCTAAGGTAATTTATCCGGAATATTATTAACCTTTCCCTCTTTTACATGAAATTGCCTAATCACCCAAGCATGTATTGGCTATCTGCGTCTTTTACTCGACAGCTTTAAGTTTAGGAATCCTCTATTGGTGGCTAAATGGCCTTATCGAATAAAAGCAAAGTGGTCTACTGGCAATTAGACTGCTACTGAATCTCACTAGATATGTCATAATTCTAAAGCTGCCTGCATAACCTTTAAGCAACAGACGCCGTATTTAGTTCAGAGAGGAGTATGTTTGCTTCGCTGCTTCTGAACTAGCTCTCTGACTTTTTACTCTACCAGGACATCACACTGAGCGATAAACACCCGGTGGCAAAAAGTGCTACCATTCGGATTAGGATTGCATGATTACCTGTGGAGAAGTCCCAGAAACCCCGTTTTACCGTTAGGTTATATTAGGGCTCCCTACTACAGCCGGAGTGGGGCTTCAAAAAGCGAAATAGTGAGTCCCGTTTGTGGACGGGGATTAGTACAAAACAACATTTTGTTGACCTTATCAGATGTGCATTGTTACGTAATCAGCATGGAGCAAAAAGCTAAAATTAAATTCTTTTTAAAACTTAGAAAAAGCGCCATGTAAACAGTGAAAATGACGCAGCAAGTTTATTGGGATACTGTTTATCTCGTGCACACATTTTCAGGTCGTATTCACTAATCCAATGATAGCTAATGCACCTAGACCACGTTGTTTGTCTTGGAGACCAAAAACATCAGCAGGTTGAGTACGCAAGAGACATCATCAAAACAAGAATTGTTGGCCCAAAACAAGTGTTGGTTCTAAGCCTTCCATCCTATTCCTCAGATTTGTCTCCCTGTGATTATTTTCCATTCGCACAATTAAAGTTACGATTAAAAGGACTCTTATTTACCGATATTAATGACATCTAAAGGGCCGTAAGATTGACTTTAAGGGCCATAAAAACAGAAGTACTACAGAGGTTGTTCCAGTGTTAGTTAGATCGTGTCACTTGCTATAACAATGCAGAAGGGACTTTAAATAAAATACAGTTTATATCTTGAACTGTTGATTAATTAAAATTAAAACGGTTATGGAATTAGTCTCATTACCTAATTGTCAGACCTTGTAAAGGGGAAGGACGACCGAGATGCAACAATGAAATTCATCACCACTAAAAACTGTGTAGACACAGGGGCTGAGTCGCAGACCTAGCAGACGGTGGGAAGATAATATTCAGATACACTGGAAACACTAGGTGTCACCAAAGTGAAAGAGAGGACCAGTCAGTATGATGAAAGAGGCCGATCGATATCTGCACCAATGAACCTCATGAGCTAGGATTGCCGAAGCGAAAGAAGATCATACAAGGACTCCAAGCCAGGAATAGACACTGGTTTTGACAGAAGCGTCGAAGCAAAAGGAGAGAAAAAAAATGTAGAAATTTGAAGAATATGTCAGGTTTACAGGTTTACAAAAGGCAAACAGAAGGCGTTCTTGCGACTAGCATTGATCAGCAGAACAAGGCCAGAAATAGCGCCCGCGCAAAAGAACTGACTGAAATTATGTCTTTACTTTGTCTTCTTTTTCTTCTTCTTGAGCATTTCGAACCCTTGAGATTCATTGGTGCCTATACCACCCGCGTCCTTTCATCTCTCTAGCTGGCCTTCTCAAGTGTTTGCATGTCTGTCTAGGCATTATCTCTCCATGGTCTTCTTGGTCTGCCTCGTGTTCTTCGACCATTCAGCTCCCTCTCGTGTATACAGTTTTGACCTCTCTGTCATTTGCTATTCTCTCAATGTGCCTAAGCTCTCTATTAGCTCTCATGATACCAGTGATCAATAGCGATTGAACAGATTATGAAATTCGTTGTTGCTTCTCACTCTCTGTTTTCCGCTGTTTGCTTCTTTGACAGGTCCAAAGATTCGTCTTAAGACTTTTCAAAACTTTATCATAAAGCCTAATCTCTTTTAGCTGTGCTCCGAGTATTATGTCGTTACAGTATTGAAATATAATGCAGACAAATAAAACAAAACTATAAGTGCCGTATTTATATTACGTTTTATTTACAGTATTTATACATACTCCGACTGCTCTACATTTGTTTTTTAAACTGGGGAAAGATATTAAGCAGGCATCCCTCTATACAGACGGACGGGGGAGCATTTAGTGAAGACGTATATGTAATATCTTATATTATTTCCACACAAGGAAAAAAAGGGGAGGTTAGAGTGAGATAGGGCCGTGTTGGTGCACTCCCTCTTTAGGAATTTTCTAAATAGGTGCTAATTAAATTTGTTTTTATTAATAATATTAGTATCATGTGCTAAAGGATAAGTGTGTTAACTTATGTTGCAAATTAAGAGAGGCCCCATTGTGGGGAATAAAAGAATAGACCCACTAAATCCCCATCAAGCATGTCGTAGGAGTCGACTAATTGCGGACTTCCTTGGAAGTAAGTGCATCTGCCCGAACGACAAGGAACAACCAGTTGCACACAAATTAGCCAGTAAAACGGATATACACGCATAACTCAGACCCTGGCAAAAAGTCGAAGTCCAAGTGGACGAACAACGAGGGCTTTCCGCCGAGACTCCAGTAGGTGAAAAAAAAATGAAATGAAGATAAGAAGAAGAAGAAGGAAAAATTAGGCGAGATCTAAAGTTATAATTTGTACATATGTTTACGAAGTTCGTCCTCCTCACACATTTTTGTTTTATGGGATGTGGAGTAGGAGTCTAGCGCTCAGTAACTCCCTTAAAATTTTTTTTTTCTTTTTCTGTTAGAGGGCTCGATGAGCCTAAGTTCTTGCATCCCTGACATTAAATTAATTAGATTGTATGATTTATAAACAATATGAAAACAAAACTCTACACTACATTGATATTTCTATTTTCTTCTCTCTCTAATTCAGGAAAACCTGATCATATTTGACGACACTGGTCTCTGTATGGCTGAATTAAACAAGAAAGCGATTGTCATGGTAACATGTAACAGCTCGGACACCAGCCAACAGTGGAAATGGCCACGCGAAAGCATTGCTGTATCGTGAAGGGAGCTGGCACTCTGGTTTATGATTTCACTGTAGCAATCAGAAGCTTCGGTTTGAATTGTCTGTGTTGAGGTTTTAATCGACTGAGCATTATGCGAATAACCATGTTAATTTCGTTTGTTTGTTTTGGCTTTGGTTTATTGTTCTATTTGGTAACTATTGCCAGCTTGTAGAAAAAAAAAGTTGAAGAGATCAAAGACATCTCTGTCTCACTTAATATATCCATTACTTTTCTCTTAAGAAGACCTGGACGCTTATGTCTTTATATATTTCCTATGCTAGATTTAAGATGACACCCATTATTGGCTTATTAATGTCCAGAGATATTCCCCCTCATTGCTGTCAAGTGTTTTATCACAGTTTCTAAATATACAGAATGTCGCTCCCATCACAGTTAGCCTGAAAGAAACGTGTGGCTCGACATCTTTTGTACCTTAAAAAATGTCCCGCCTTAAATGTCACGTCATCTGCAATCATTTGTCCTGACTGGTCCCTGTCTTTCTTAATCGGTGCTTCATTGCTGTTCAAAGGTCATTATCGTGTTTAATGTGGGCAGGATATGTGACAAAAGAAGCAAGTTACGAGCCAACTGTCCTTGATGTTCAGATCTTTTCCCTCTGGTAGTAAAAGTGACAGACCTTTTCCAATGCCTTCATTATTATCATTAATGTTGAATGTTGTTGAATATCGAGTCATTACATCACTCGGATACTAAGAACTGATATTACAGCACTCGAATAATCGGCATAAGCCCCCGTCCTCGTCTTCAGCAGCCAGCTAAGAGTTCTCCTTCCGATGATAAATAATTAAGGTAATAAACTACTCAAACGTCTTCTTAAAGTCCATGCTACGTGGCTTCAGTATTCATCTGTTGTGTGCTAAAGTGGGAAGACAGCACACGACCAAGTGACCTGGGTATGATTAACACTCTAAACTGTTGTACCAAACTTACGTACAAATTGTTAGGAAAACTCAAAGACGTGTTGCCCCCATTTTTGAACATTTTATTTCACAATGACGATCGGGTACACACAAACCCGCAGATAGAATAATGCAAGCAAAATGGTTTAGCGGTGCTCTCTTGGACAGCTTACACTAGCTGCCACTTCCGGCTGAGCTGACCGCTACAGTGCCTAGGACTCTAGCTACTCTAATCTCAGGGCTCGCTGTAAAGATCAACATGTTACTGAACTTGACCTCTGTTGCTCTATGCGTAGCAAACACTGTCACATCGACTGACTGGAAAACTTCACAATGCTTGATCTCCAGAATGTGCACGTAGCACATCAGCCTGGTCGCAGGTACTACGATGACAGACAGAACTCCCAACTGTGAGTCCTCTTCAGCACACAGCTGTCACCGACATCTCTGCGGTCTTGTCTCACTTGTAATTACAACTGCCAAACATGCGTCGTCACGTAAGACAGCTTCTTCTTAAAGTAGTCAAGCTCTCTTGGCCCAACTCTGTCTGTTGGACTTCTCTTCCTTCGACTTCACTCTCGACTATCCTCTAGACCAGTCTCTCACGAGTGCTTCCGCCTCAAACGCTCTCAACTGTTCGAGCTCTCTCTCTCTCTCTCTTAACTGAACTCAACCCCAGTATATATACAGGCCTGTCCTGTGAGCTCTTCCGTGCAGTACAAGACGCTCACTGTCATGCGTGATTCTCCTGCAATGAGAAACCGATACTTTCCGTGCGATTGCTGCTATCCTCGCTCTAAGTATGACGAATCGTCCCGCTCTGGGCTGACACGTTCTAAACCAAATGGTTTATCCGGGCCTAAGTCATTTTCTTGTTAAAGGTCTCAGAAGTTCTAATAATTTCTTTACATTTCACTTATCAAATGTTTTTTTGTAATTAATAAAGAATAAATGCAAATCTCTTTTCATGGTAATTATTCTTTCTAAAAGTGCTTTCAAGGTAATTATATCATTGTTTGTGGCTTTACATTTACCAGGACTTCCGGTGTAAACAGCCAGAATAGCGGTACGCTTTTTCGTCCGTTGAGGCGAATGGCACATATTTGCTATCTTCGCTCACTTATACTGTGAAAGTGTCATCGGAATGGAGTCTGAACCGTGCAATGGAGTACATGCACGTGAGTTCAGACTTCCCTCAGGGTGTATTCGACGTCCGATGGCGACTATTTACCCATTCAAAACAACCCGTAGACGGACAAGGAGAACGCGAACAGGCAAGCACGGTGGCGCCTGCAGAAAGCGATTGAAATGTAAGAGACTCAGCTTAAAGTATGTTCGCATTCTCTACTGGAACTGCGCTTCATTTAATCAACGCCGACCCATTTTCGAGAAGCTCATTTACAGCAATGACATCGTTGTCCTACAGGAAACACACCTCGGTGACGAGATCTTTAAAATTGCGGGCTTTCAATCCTTCTACAATAGACGGCACCTCGGACAGCGCATTCTTATTCGTGACCACATACTGGTGTCTGAGGTGGACATGTCTGAGTGGAATAATGACGACTCAAAAGTACACAGTCAGAGTGTTGGGCCCGGCCCAGTTTGTGATTGTCAATGTGTACGCCTGCAATGGAAAGGTGGATACAGCGAAATGGCAGAGTTTGCTCCAGACGGAAGAAAAGAAAGTCCTTTACTACGGAGATTTCAACACAAGAGGGAACCAGTGGGGCAATATAATCACTAATAAACAGGGAGAAGATCTGGAGGATGCCTTAGTGTCTGCCGATCTAGTATGCTTGAACGACGGAAAGTTTACCCGAATGGCAACCTGACAAGGGGATTCTGACAGCGTAATTGACCTAGCTTTAGTGTCTCCCTCCACTGCATTAGGATGCAGGTGGAGCACACTGGGATACCTTGACAGTGATCACTTTCCTTGCGTAGTCCTGGTGGAGAAGAGACACAACAAAGGTCATGTAGTCAATGTGCCTGCTTTTATATATGACCGTACAGGGCAAGATGCCATTAGCAAAATCAGACGACGTAAAACAAGAGCAGATCGCAGACGGCGGTAGAGATGGGCCCAGCCACCATGGTGGAATGAAATAGTCAACATGGCGTGGCTAGAAAAAAGGAAAGCTGTCAAGGCATGGCAAAAGGCAAGGAAAACTGATCCGTCACTTTCTGAACGCCTGATCAGTCTGAAAGATGAGGTCTACAAGCAGACAGTGGCTTTCAAGTTAATTGCGAAAGAAGCCAAGACAGCGAAATGGAACGAATTCTGCAAGAGCGTTTGCTCCGAGGGATCTCTTGTGACATTCTGGCGCCTTCAACGGAGCATGCACGGCTCCGCACGACCAAGGGGTATCCCTGATTTTCAGGATACAGACCTGATATGGAAGAGAACTGATGCTGATAAAGGAAAAACGCTATATGGAGCAAACTGACCAGAAAGACGAAGCTGCAAGAATAGGGGTTAAGATAAAACTGTCGATGCTGTGCGAGAACACAGTGCTAGGCACTGATTTCACAATCACTGGAGATACCTTAAGAACTTGCCTCAAGAAATCGCGCAGCACTGCTCCAGGCCCTTACGGCATCCGATACAACGACATGCTGATGATGTCGAATGCTGATCTGAAAAGCGTGGCAAAGGAATTCAATATCAGCATCCAGAGTGACCAGATACAAGAGGAATGGCTCTATAGTTATTTGTTCCCACTACCAAAGCCGAATAAAGACCACTCAAAGATCTGCGGCTACAGAATCATCTCGATGCAGAATACTGTTGGCAAACTTTTGGAGAAAATTGTCGCACAAAGATTGACCACCTACTTGGAACTACTTGATAAGTTCCCATCAACACTTGGAGGGTACAGGTTGAATAAAGAGACATGGTTCAATGCTGCAGTTTTCGCCTACGATGTGTACGAGGGATTTCAGATTAAAGAAGAGACATGTGCGGCAGTGTTGGACTTGGAAGATGCCTACAATAAAGTACCATACGAATATTTAATGCAATTACTGCTTACACTAGAAGTAAGTCCTTTTCTGATCCACTGGATTGCTGCGGTCCTGTTCCAGAGAAAGATTGTACTAAGATGTGGTAGCTGGTCCTCAGAACCGCAAACGATATGTCCAGGTTTGCCACAGGGATCACCACTATCACCAGTCTTATTCAACGTTTACACGGTAATGATCACTGAGCAGCATTTGAATGGAAAGGGAAGGACTGTGTTATTTGCTGATGACATTTTGATTTATTGATGAGGGCGTTATAGACAGGAGATCGTCAGCACAATGCACAAAGAACTCGATCGAATTGCCGCCTGGTGTGATGGTTTCAATGCCTATGTCAATCCTTCAAAGGCATCAGTGTCATGGTTCTCTTTGAACAATCACATTGTCAAGTCGGACTTACCAGAAGTGAAAATGCGTGATAATCTATTGATCAGAACCAACGTTATGACGTTTCTCGGGGTGAGGTTCGATCGCAGCTTGTCATTCCGTTAACACGTTGACCATGTGATAACAAAAGCACGCAAAGGTCTATCTGCAATGAGGATTATGGCTGCTTCCAATATCGAGCAAAGACTACTAATACTTTCTACGGTCTGGTCCTTTTCCCCATTGAATACGCTCTGGCCATTCTCACTGTCAGTGCCACCCAGATTGAACGACTCGAAAAGGTGCAAAATGAAGCCATGCGCATATTTTGGGATGTACAAGAGACACATCCTGTAAAGCACTTTCCAACGATAAACCAAAGGATAAGGATGTGGAGGGCTCAGGGGTACTTTAAAATATGTGCTGATAAGAAACACCCACTGCATCAAGCGCTTTTTAGTGAAAAGGGCGACAGACAGAAGAGGGGAAAATGGTGGCTAGGTCGGGCAGAAGATGTTATTAGGCAAATATGCAGCCTAACCGACATCATACCTGGCGCAGAATGGATACCTGTGCCTCAGGCGTTTATTTGTATATTTTCATGTATTGTCACACTCAACAGGGGATTTAGAGAAGAGAATCCTGTTGCTGTTAATGCAGAGGTCAACGCCCTCATCAGTGAAAATTAA